AATAATAACGAAGTGTGCTCAAAAACCTGAGTATTATCCTAAAACACATGCTGTGCCCCATATGGTCTAAAACCTGACAGGTGGACAAATCTAAGCTTGTTTTTAATAAAACAAATATAAATATGGATATAATAAATAATACTGCTAATAATAATAATAACATTATACAAAAGCAAATTGTTATGAATGAACTGAAAAAGCCTCCCGAGATGAAGAAGACATAAAAGCAGTGATTTTTCATATTTATGTAGGCTAGAAAATAATATGTTTTGTAATATTTTAATCCTTTATATTTATATTCTATATCGATTCTTATTATATCCTATATATATCCTTAATATTTACATTTTTTCATATGTAAAGATATTTGCCTATTGCTCTCTTGTGTGTATTAAGCAGTGTGTAAGCGGTGCAACTCTGCGCTGGAGTTTAGACCGGGTTAGTTTTGGTCTAATGAAAAATCTATTATAGTTTTTAAAAATAGCAACGCGCCAGCGGTCCGCCTCAGAACGCCTTCCTTTTTAGACCAGAACGCCTATGGACGCACAAATGAGCGCTAATGCATTTGCTATTTAAACAGCGTAGCGCAACGCCTCAAAACAACTCTTATGCCCAGCTGAAACTACCAAAAGACTATTGCACCACGCCTTGCGCCACACTGCGCCGGGTGTATGATAGGGCCCTCTGTGTGAATGTAGCATGATACTGCATAGACATGTTGCCAGATTGACATTTTACTTGCAATTGATGGAAACCCCACCACATACAGTATACAACCAACATAAACATGCTTTACCTTGTAGGTCAAGAGAAACCACTGCCGTATCGTCCTCCAAGCCATCGATGACTTCACACTTGTATTTCCCGTAATCCTCCAGGGTGATCTCTGTGATGACCAGTGTGGCGTCGCTCTCGCTGGCAGCCTGAAGGTGAACGCGGCCGTGGAATCGACCGTAGCTCTTTTTGTGGAAGCCCATCGCCACAAACACATCAATTTCCTTCAGGTAGTCTGAGGTCAGTTTAGTCCATTTAATCCTCAGCTTGGGATTTGGGGGAAGCGAGGAATCCCGATTGAACTTGCATGGCAGTGTGGCATTGCCTCCGCGCTGAGAGATCACTTTGGGTTGTGCTGTGTCGACTGAGAGTCGGGGGCCGTTTTCTAAAAACCCCAATAAAACAGAAACTTAGTGACAGAAGTAGACTGTAAAATAAAACGATATGACTACATTTAATAACTTAAAATAAGTGAAAATAAAATTATTATAACTTATTTAAATAAGTAAATTGGGTTTCAGAGAGTTTTGGTTTTGCATTAAGGAAGTTTGCAGCACATGTTTACAGCTTTCCATTGTTGCAGATCTGAAATGTTGTCAGGAGCTGTCAGTCCATCATCACAGTGCTTAAGTATTATTATAATTATTCTATTATTATTCCCTCCAGTCTTCAACATACACTGACAAAGTAATGATTACAAACGATTTTTAAATGTTATTTTAACTTATTTGAATAAGTTAATGGGGTTTCAACAAATGATTGTAAAGTTATATATTTTTTTAAGATGCTGTATACACGTTTTTGACTCTTCTAAAGCATAAAAATGCCATGATATGCAGATGTTTTAAAAAAAAAACTATTCACAGCTGAAGCCCGCGCTTTACTTTTAGCATTGGAGTATATAGAAAATGCCCAACAAAAGAAATCAGTCATTTTTACAGACTCTAAATCATGCCTCCAAGTTATGGAATCTTCAACGAATGATCATCCTTTGATTGACAATATTTTAACTAAAGTTCACCAACTACAAAATCAGTTTTATCACATCATTTTTTGCTGGGTTCCTGGACATGTCGGACTTTTAGACAATGAGCGAGCTGATGCAGCTGCTAAAGATGCTTTGAAGCAAGTAGTGAACAAATGCCGAATTCCTCCGTCAGAGATGAAACCTTTTATCAACGCTTACATTTTAAACAAGTGGCAAAAGGAATGGGCTGCATTAGAAAACAATAAACTACATGAAATCCAACCTGAAGTTTCACACAGAATTTTAAGACATTTTAAGAATCCATTTGATCAAGTAGTTTTTACCAGATGTTGTATTGGGCATACGAGAATTACACATGGTTTTTTGCTCCAAGGTGCAAACCATACTCAGTGTTTGTGCTGCAAAACTCCTCTTACTGTAAAACACATTTTACTGGACTGTCCTGCTTTTACTGATTCCAGAAGGACTTTTTATGGACTCTTTTAAGGACATTTTTGACAAAGTGAAACCAGAAAAGATTTTAGAATTTTTATCATGTATTAACACAAAAAATCTTATTTAATTTATGTTTTATTTTGTTTGTTGATTTTTAAATTGTATATTTATTGTTGAAAGATTACTGCCATGAAGATAGCCTTGGTTGCTGACATGGCACTAAATAAAAAAAATACATACATATATATAAAAAAAAAACTAACGTAGTCTAACGATGTTTCGTACACAACGATAAATAAAATGGCCTTAAAGGGCCATGACACCCCCCACTTTCGGTTAAAGTCTACTTCAGAATTTTTTCAAAAGATGCATCATAATGGGCGTGGAGCTCCGCGAGCAAAAGGCGGAAGTGGGCGTGGCCGGCAGGGCAGATGGAGAGGAGCGAACTGTTGTCAATTTGCTCACAAAATGAGACACAAACCGTGAGGAGACGCATGAGTTTATTAAACAGAAATAAACAGCCATTTATTGCCCTGCTACATTTGTTATTCGTAATTTCATATACAGACAACCACAATTTATATCATTATAAAGATAATCGTGTTCATATAAACACTATAAATGAGGATTCTCCCTCAATCCCCGGGTCTGACTCTGAATCAGAGGTCTGAATGCAGACTCAGTGCAGCAGGTCTCCTGACCTGTCTATTTTAACCATTAGCCCTGCTGGTAATCTGGATGATTAAGGCAAACACAGCAGCACGGCGATGTGTCTGAATGTGAATGAACTCCTGATAAAAGACAGCGTCCGCCATTCTCCAATTCTCGTACTGCTTGGAGCACACACACAGCTTTGCTGTATGATCGGCCCTGACAGGATCGCAGGGGAAAAACATGCAACACCCCGTCGCGATTTTGATTTTGCCCCAAAAATCCTTTTAAACCTGGAAGCTAAAATGAGCTGACAAAAGCTCAAAATGATCCAGTTTAACCCACAATTAAAGCTGACAAGCTGTCTTAATTGATGCTCAGCACACACACATCTGTTAATTAAAAAAAAAGTTCTCCAGGGTGTCCTAAACCTTTAAAATGACAGCATCACTTATCACAGTAATTTCTATGAATAATAAATCGCATAACAAAAAGTATGTATTCAATAATATCATAGATTGCGATCACCGTCTTCATTTTTTTTCTCTAAGATGACATGGTGAGTCTGTCCCTGCCATATGCTGTTGGGTTATGCAGACACATGAATTATCATGTTTGCTAGATTTCTTAGAAGAGGAAACTCCCTTTAAATGTTTATGACTTGTGACTGTGCATGCACTTCCAGTGAAGACGCGCTAGTAGGTGTTCCTGTCGTTGCAACCATTAGTTCACATAATAAGAAAAACGTGCTCTCGTTTGCATGCGTTTTACAGAGCAGGATGTGGAGAGATTTGCCTCAGAAAGTTCTAGATGTGCTTAAGTACCAGAGATCTGAGAGATGGACTAAACGTAAATAAGTTAAAGAGGGACCCCCATGGCTAGACCTCTGAACTTCCTGTCAGACTTTGCCAACATAATGCCAAATATAATGCATATTTACACACCAGGCTCTGCTTACATACACTATACAAAAATGCTGGGATCCACATAATCACTTGATGTTGTCCGAAGGCAAATTAAGTTAACTTTAATGGTTTGTACAGTTTTAAGTTATGCATAAACACCCCCCCCCCCTTTTTTTTTAATTTTCCAGAGTAGACATTTTGTGCAAATATCTGGTATGTTTTATTTGTATTTATTTATATATAATTTTCTTTATTTATTATTGTACTTGATGAAAATTATTTTTATCATGAAGCTTATAGTAGCAGAAAATACAAGCCTTACTTTCTAAATTAAATCTTATTCTAAGAAATTCATTACATGGATAAATGTTTTTAATTGTTTTGAAATGTACTTCTTTCATTTTAGGCAACAAGGGAAATGCCAGGTATCTTTTTTTAACTTCAATAGTGTGTGCTTTATATGAAACTTTTCTTTTAACAGGAAGAGGAAAATATTCTTTTGTCAGTAGTGATCTCAGGACCTTGTTGTTACATTTAATATCCATTAATCATTTACATTTAAACATTTACATTTAAATCCATATCCATTTAATATACATATAATAATATACATTTAATACATTTATATGTCATTTATATGAAAAACAAAGTATTGAATTTCTGTGTAATAATATGTTGATTGTAGCAAAATTTTATATTCACAAATTTAAAGTTTCTCCTTGTTTCAAAGCATTTAAAAATGATTTTAACATTTTATATAAATCCATAATACTGGTAAAAACAAAAGATGCCTCAAAACTCTTTAAGCTTTTGTCAGCTTATATGGACTGAAAAAATTCTAATTCTCCCCCCCCAAACAACTTCAGTTCATTTTAAATAAGTAGTTTGAACAAGAAGAAACTTATATTTTTAGTGCACATGACCCATGCATAAACAGTTTGACATGTAAAACTTATTGTGCACCATTGCAGTGTATATAACACTAGGAATCATAGAAATCCAGCTGTGGTGTTTATGGAAACACTGTGGCCTGCTCTCAGTTTTCTAAAGTCATCTGCTTTTGATAATGATTGCAAAGGAGCAAAGGACATATTCAGGACTCAGACACAATTGGATTAAGGTAAAGCATATGTTTTTAGTTATCATTAAATGTTAGCATGGATTAGCATGTCTCAGTATTTCCAGCAGTCACAGGACGTCAACATGACGTCAGATTGACATTGTACCCCAAAGTTATTTTGAGACGTTGCATTTTGATTGGAAATAAAAATCGGCTTGACGTCAATGTCCAACGTCAGACAGATATTGCATTTTGGTTAGAAAGCAAAATATTGGAATAGCCTATTATGTATTTAGGCTGCTTTACATGTATAAAAACTAAAGTTGTGTGTTTTAGATGATTTTTATCTATTATTTTCTGGAAAGCTGCTTCTGACCATGACACGTCCACACTAAATGACTATAAAAGACATGTTTAAGGGATTTTATGGAACATCCCTCATTTATTCTCTTAAGTAAGGAAAGATCTCCACTGAACTGTTATAATTAGAGGGAAAATGTGTTTAATGCATTATAAAGTTTGAAGCATCAAAATCGGTACTCAGTATCAGCCGATCACCATGACAATATATCAGTACTCTGTATCAGCTGCAAAAATCCTGATTGTATATATATATATATATATATATATATATATATATATATATATAGTGAGGTGTAGTCAGAATTAGTAGCCACCCTTTGATTGATTTATTTTTTTATTTTTTAAATATTTCCCAAATGATGTTTAACAGAGCAAGGAAATTTTCAAAGTATGTCTGATAATATTTTTTCTTCTGGTGAAAGTCTTATTTGTTTTATTTCGGCTAGAATAAAAGCAGTTTTTCATTTTTTTAACCACATTTTAAGGTCATTATAATTAGCCCCTTTAAGCAATTTTTTTTTTGATAGTATATATTTTTCGATAGTCTAATATTATTTACTGCCATCATGGCAAAGATAAAATAAATCAGTGATTAGGAATGAGTTATTAAAACTATTATGTTTAGAAATATGTTGAAAAAAATCTGCTCTTAGACAGAAATTAGAGGAAAAAAAATAAAGGGGGGAATGGAGGTAATAATTCAGGGGCGCCAATAATTCCGTCTTCAACTGTATGTATATATGTATATGTGTATATATATATATATGTATATATATATATATATATATATATATATATATATATATATATATATATATATATGTGTGTGTGTGTGTGTATATATATATATATATGTATGTATATATGTATATATATATATATATATATATATATATATATATATATATATATATATATATATATATATATATATATATATATATATATATATATATATATATATATATATATATATATATATATATATATATATATATATATATATATATATATATATATATATATATATATACATATATATATATATATATATACACATATATATACACACATATATACATATATATACACACACTTACCCCACTCTTTTATTTATACTCTAAGTTCTGTACACACATGACCTATATATTTCTTCACATACTCATATAGAGACAGAGGGAGACACTCATCTCTAAATACGGATTCATTTTCACTTAGACATGCCTCAAGAAAAGAACCTCACACTATATTTCCACCAAGAATCTAATTGTGAGCTTGATATATCTCTTAATCAGTGACGCCCACTGAATTAGGCTCACGATATTGATGTTTTGATATCTCTCTATATATAGTTGAAGTCAGAATTATTCGCCCCCCTGTTTATTTTTCCCCAGTTTCTGTTTAACGGAGAGCAGATTTCTCCAACACATCTCTAATCATAACAGTGTTAATAACTCATCTCTAATAACTGATTTATTTTCTCTTTGTCATGATGACAGTAAATAATATTAGACTAGATATTCTTCAAGACTCTAGTATTCAGCTTAAAGTGACACGTAAAGGCTTCACTAGGGTAATTAGGGTAAAGTTAGGGTAATTAGGCAAGTCATTATATAACAGTGGTTTGTTCTGGAGACAATCCAACACTAATATTGCTGAAGGGGCTGATAATATAGAGCTTAAAATGGCTTTAAAACTATTAGGAACTGCTTTTATTCTAGCCCAAATAAAACAAATAAGACTTTCTCCAGAAGAACAAACATTAGAGGAAACACTGTGAACAACTCCTGAATCTGTTTAACATCATTTGGGAAATATTTGAACAAGAACAAAAAACTAAACCAATAACTCTGACTACAAGTGTAAGAGGACAACTGAGCCCACACAAGCAGAGATAAACCTGCACACACACACACATACATACACACACACACACACACACACACACACATACTAACTCACGTCAGCGAGGGCTCGTGTGCGGACGAACATGACGGTGCGCGTCTCCTGATTATTGTGGTATTCCTCCTCCAGGATGAAGCGCAGCTCCTCCAGTTTGGGGTTCTGCTGCCCCTCAGTGGCCAAACACTGCAGCTGCGGACGCTGGGCTGAACACACACACACACTCATCAATACACACACACACACATATATATATACACTGCTGCTAATGCACACACACACACACACACACACTAGCTGTGTTCTATACACCTATTTTGATATATTTTGGAATATGCCATGAAAAATGCTAAACGGAAATGCAGAAATGTTGTAAATGTGCCTAAAACTGGCTGAGCTCCACTGACTGATGATGAGTGTGCACATGAACTGTGCTGTGAACAGCTGTCGTGAGTGAAGTTCATCAGTCTGTGCTTCAGTGATGGAGTTTCTGACAGATGCTGATCAGATATAAGTGTGTGTGTGTGTGTGTGTGTGTGTGTGTGTGTGTGTGTGTGTGTGTGTGTGTGTGTGTGTTTAAATCATTAATGTTGGTTTTCAGCTCTCCATGTTTCCAGATCTCCATTGTGTCAGATTTGAGATGTTGTTGTGCTGATTGTTAAAGGCCTCAGCCCTCCGTCAGTCCATCATCCCAGTGCTCCAGTATTCTTCTTCTTCTATTATTATTCCCTATTCGTCTCACTGACTGTAATCGCTGTTTTATTCCAGTGTTGCGCATGAATGTGTGTGTGTAAACTCAGCCTCAGTCACACTGTTTACTGTCGTAAAGCGCCGTGAGTTTCCTCTCTGTGGTCTGGAATCCGGCGTTTCGGACCTGCTGGAAAAACACGTCCAGATAATCCAGAGCGTCTATAGTGCGAGCGTCTTCATTAATGATCAGAGCGTCGTTATATTTCTGGAGGAGAGCAGAAACAACACCAGACCATCAGCACTCATTCACACACTCGTTCATCCATCCATCTCTTTATCTATCCATCCAGTTATCAATATATCTACCCAACCATCCATCTCTTTATCTCTATATATCTATCCATCTGTCTCTATTTACTCATCCATCCATCCATCTATCCATCCATCCATCCATCCATCCATCCATCCATCCATCCATCCATCCATCCATCCATCCATCCATCCATCCATCCATCCATCCATCCATCCATCTATCTATCTATCTATCTATCTATCTATCTATCTATCTATCTATCTATCTATCTATACATCCATCCATCTATACATCCATCCACCCATCCATCCGTCCGTCCGTCCGTCCGTCCGTCCGTCCGTCTATCCATCCATCCATCCATCCATCCATCCATCCATCCATCCATCC